ATCTACTGAAATTCATGGAGCTAGGCTTTCGTATGGTGCTCATTAATTTCAGTTTTGTGTAGGAAACGTGCTCGTTATTTATTTTCATGTTGTTTTAAATTATATGTCCCCATCTCCTAGCCTGTTTGCAGGTTTCTGTGGCAGTCTACAACAACTGAAATCATCATCATTGCAATCATCATCATCGCATAAAAACATATTGCTCTTTATACAAAAGCCAGTTCACAACATTCTGTTCCACTTATTCTGTTGCCTTCCAGTGCAATAGTGGGGAACCTCTGGCTATCCAGAGGTTAAAGTAAAGGTAAAGGGACCCCTGACCATTAGGTCCAGTCGTGGCCGACTCTGGGGTTGCGGCGCTCATCTCACTTTATTAGCCGAGGGAGCCGGTGTACAGCTTCCGGGTCATGTGGCCAGCATGACTAAGCCACTTCTGGCGAACCAGAGCAGCACACGGAAATGTCGTTTACCTTCCCGCCAGAGCGGTACCTATTTATCTACTTGCACTTTGATGCGCTTTTGAACTGCTAGGTTGGCAGGAGCAGGGACCGAGCAATGGGAGCTCACCCCGTTGTGGGGATTCAAACCACCGACCTTCTGATCGGCAAGCCCTAGGCTCTGTGGTTTAGACCACAGCGCCACCTGCGTCCCACTTAACATTTTACCCACCTCTTACTCTGCAAATGTACAGCATCAGTTCATCTGCTTTCAAAAGAACTGATTATGTATTTGCAAAGCAAATTTTCAAAAAGGACTAACAGTTGAATCCAATGCATAGGTTCACTTCACCTTACTCCCAAGTAAACATGGATAGGACTGCAGCCTTAGTAACTTCATGGAAAAGTTACTTTCCCATCTCCTACCACCATTGATGTTATTATTTTTATTTATTTTTATTAAAGATTTTCTTGGTTTACAAAAGTACATGCCTTGTCTCTTTTTCAGGTTGTACAGTCTTTCTTACAGATCAGTTACATTTGTTGTGAGACATTAGTGTTGAGCACAGTATAAGGTTGGGGAAGAAGATGGGGAGAGAAGAGGGGTTGGGTGGTGAGGCTTATATTCTTGTGTATAGTATACATGTGGGGTTTTGTGTCAGCGTCAACTAGGTAGGTTCTCTTTCTATTCGTTTATTACATTTCCTTGGTAGTGAGAGGTATTGGGGGGCAGGGCATAGTTGGTTGTCTATGGTTGGCTGCAGTGGGGTTTGTTTCATTTGTGAGGCAGGGAGTGCAATGATGTTATTAACATTTGAACATTTTATTCCAAGACTAGAGCTTTCAGTCCATTGACTTGCATAGAAATAAACAAATGAACCGCTCTGGGTCATTAGATAAAAGCTTTATTTGTGCAGTCAATATACTAGTGCATGGGTTGGTTGTGGATTAAAATGTGGATTCATGTTTCGATTTTGGTAGGAGCAAAACATTTAGAAGTGATAGCATTGTGGAAAACAATTGTTTTGATTTAGGTGATGCATTAGAACGTGGTTTTTTAAAACACCCTCTTTTGCCTGTTATCTTTAATATTTGTTGGCATTTGTCTGTTTCAAGGCTTCCCCTCGTTTCCCTCTACAGCATGTGCAGAAACTGCCTTCTTGACCAGTGGTGGTCAACTATTGGTCTTGTTCGTTCAATCCCCTGGAGCCTGTCTTGACATGCAGGGGGAGTCCCTGTGCGATGTGATACATAAGTAGCAGTCAAGTACAACATTCCTTGTTTTCCTAGAGTGGACATGCAGGGGAATGTTTGGTCCAGCCAGTCAAAAACTTCCTGTTTCCTCCTGGCTGGGACATACTTCCTTTGCATGTGACTAGAGGTGGGTGTGACCTTACCTGTCCAGGTAACACAAAAGGACAGGACACGCAGCACTCACTCTCTCTTTTTGACTCCATCCGTCGTTGGACCAGCTTTTTAGCTAGGAGTGCTCTGCTAACTAGCAGAGGCACTGGGATCATTCCTCCCTATGGGGTAGATCACCACGCACATATCTGTAACTGTCTGTCTTCAGGGATCCAACTGTGAACTGATGCTGTGAGTAAACTTCTTTTATTGACTTTAAATAAGATTGCCGTGTGTTTATTCTTTTAAGAGGGATAAAAGGGAACTCACCAGGAACATACAATACTGAATTGTATGATAGCGAGAGGCTTACACAAGCCTGCAACCAGCTACCCGTTGTGCGTTTAAAAGGGAATGTAAAACTCTGCTAAGTAAAAGAACTTGCTAGCGCAAGTTAGGAAGGATATTAATAAACAATATATCATCTCCTGCATGCTCCTGGGAGCCACAGGTGGGAGCTGAATGCAGGGTGGGGACCACAGGTGGACAAAATACCCAGAAGGAACATGACCTATGCCTTCCCTAATGCCCCAGGCACTCTTGTCTTTAACAGATGCTGTTAAAATATCACATATTGAGACTGGATTCCATCATATGCTTTGATCTAACATTGCTCTAATCAAAGTAAACAAAACATCATGTCATCATTGGAAACCATTAAACGAAACACAAAAATCTGTGGATGAAAAAGAAACTGAGCATTCGGCTGGCAGATCAGAAGGGCGCAATTTGTTCTGGCCCTCCAGACGCCGTTTGTCATCCATGCTTCATGAGAGAATGAGTATCCCAGCTACATTTTCACAGACGTATTTGTGGAACTTCTAAGGCTACATATATATGAGCAGCTTAAAAGGCAGCACGGCATTGTCTACAGAACCTAAATATTGAACTGTGAATCTATCCAGCTTATTATTTTGTTTCTCTCCCCGCCCCCCAAAATTCTTAGTTGATTTTTCGATTAACAACATACAGCACAACTTTGCCATTAGCTATGTACTTCTACATTAAAATAAACAACATGAGAAAACAAAAGCATAAGAACAACCCAGATTTTCAGTTCTAAAATGTCATTTACAGTGGTACCTTGGGTTACATACGCTTCAGGTTACATATGCTTTAGGTTACAGACTTCGCTAACCCAGAAATAGTACCTCCAGTTAAGAACTTTGCTTCAGGATGAGAACAGAAATCGTGCTCCAGAGACGCAGCGGCAGCAGGAAGGCCCATTAGTTAAAGTGGTGCTTCAGGTTAAGAACAGTTTCAGGTTAAGAACGGACCTCCAGAATGAATTAAATTCTTAACCCAACCTGTATACAGGTTGAGCAAAAGCAGAAGCAAGCAGTGTGCACTTCTAGCCAAGGGCAGTTCTCTGTTTTCAGTTGTGATCCCCACATGGTGCCTTCGCTCAACACTCTCTGCCACGGTTTCCATCCCCACCAAAACGGTGTTTCTACAAACACACCAATGTGACCTCCCTGGGGCGCAAACCTGGGCAGAGTGTCTGGAGGTCCTGGGCTGCCCAGACAACAAGACCCCCCCTCTCAGCCTTACTGATGTGGTTCAAAGGAAAGCAGAGCAGTAAATCTGGCAACAGGAGTTGCTGGAAGGGAGGTGTACAATGACAAACCTAGACAGCATCTTTAAAAGCAGAGACATCACCTTGCCAACAAAGGTCCGTATAGTTCAAGCTATGGTTTTCCCAGTAGTGATGTATGGAAGTGAGAGCTGGACCATAAAGAAGGCTGATCGCCAAAGAATTGATGCTTTTGAATTATGGTGCTGGAGGAGACTCTTGAGAGTCCCATGGACTGCAAGAAGGTCAAACCTATCCATTCTGAAGAAAATCAGCCCTGAGTGCTCACTGGAAGGACACATCCTGAAGCTGAGGCTCCAAGACTTTGGCCACCTCATGAGAAGAGAAGACTCTCTGGAAAAGCCCCTGATGTTGGGAAAGATGGAGGGCACAAGGAGAAGGGGATGACAGAGGGCGAGATGGTTGGATAGTGGTCTCCAAGCTACCAACATGAGTTTGGTACCCATCCATTCTTAAGGAAATTAGCCCTGAGTGCTCATTGGAAGGACAGATTGTGAAGCTGAGGCTCCAGTACTTTGTTTTTTTAAAATAATAATAATTTTTTTATTCAAAGTTATAACAAAACATATTTTCCAAAAACATATCCTTATTTTCCCCCCATTTTTCCTCCCTCCCCCTCCCCCCATAAAACCCATCCCCCCACCCCACCCCCTGACTTCCCTCAGTTCCAGTCTTTGGTTTCTCCAAGAATGCTATTTTCTGCATGTTACAGAGTTGTATAGATCCTCCAACTGTTTAGCTAATTATTATCAGTAAAAAAATTGTGAATGTTTATTCAAAACCTGCCAAGGAGTCCAGTTAGCTTTGTTGCGTCTTCACATACTTTGTGAAAGGTTCCCCTTCATCCTTAAAGTCACAGTTATCCTTATTTCGTAGTTTATATGTCAATTTTGCCAGTTCTGCATAGTCCATCAATTTTTCTTGCCATTATTCTTTAGTTGGGATTCCTTCAGTCTTCCATCCTTGTGCTACCAGAACTCTCGCGGCCGTTGTCGCATACATGAAGATGTTTTTCAACTTTTTTGGCAGGTCTTTCCCTACAATCCCCAACAAAAATGCCTCGGGTTTTTTAACAAATGTTAAATGGAACTTTGGCCACCTCATGAGAACTTTGGCCACCTCATGAGAAGAGAAGACTCCCTGGAAAAGACCCTGATGTTGGGAAAGATGGAGGGCACAAGGAGAAGGGGACGACAGAGGACGAGATGGTTGGACAGAGTTCTCGAAGCTACCAGCATGAGTTTGACCAAACAGCGGGAGGCAGTGGAAGACAGGAGTGCCTGGCGTGCTCTGGTCCAGGGGGTCACGAAGAGTCGGACACGACTAAACGACTAAACAACAAACAGGAGAAGCTCAGTGCTGGTGCATGTCTGTTTTTAAACTAGTGCCCATCAATTTCATTGAGCAGCTCTGAGTTCTTGTACCAAAAGGAAAACATTTATCCTCCTTTCATATTAGAACTCAAGATCGTCCAGCAATGCACACTGGCAAAATACCCAGGAAGGGCAAAATAAGTACTTCTTCAGAAACTGTATAAAATAGGTTAGCTCAGTTGGTGAATAGAAGTTAGCTCAGTTGGTTAGCGTGTGGTGCTGATCACGCCAAGGGCACAGGTTCAGTCCTCGTATGGGCCAGCTGTGTGTTCCTGCATTGAAGGGGTTGGACTAGATGACCCTCAGGGTCCCTTCCAACTCTACAATTCTGTTTTTCTAATTATGAATTCACCACTACAAGACACAGTTAATGGCCTCTAGCTTTTGATTGCTTTTTCTTTTTTTTTAAGGATTGGTTTTTCAGTAGCTAACAGCCATGAGAGCTAAACGAACCTCCATGTGTGCAGGCAGTAAACCTCTGAATACCAGATGCTGCCGGGGACAAAACTTCACCTCTATGCCCCTGTGCTTGTGAGTTTCTCAAAGCATATGGTTGGCTGTTGTAGGAAACAAATAAGGAATGAGGAATCTGTGTGGCCCTCCAGTTGTCAATGGACTCCAACTTCCATCAGCTCCAGCCAGTGTGGTCAATGTCCAGAGATAAAAATAATAATATTTATTTATTTATGTATATCCTACCCTCCCCAGCCAAAGCCAGGCTCAGAGCGGCTAACAACAGTAAAAATAGCACAGTTTACATAAAACCACAGTCAGTTAATTGAAATACATTCTAAAATCAGTTCAGAATCAAATTAATGGCAACCATTGGGCTAGAGTTCTATGAAGATTACAGAAGGAGGGGGGGGGTCAGACTGTGCCTTGGCCAAAGGCCTGGTGGAACAGCTCTGTCTTGCAGGCCCTGCGGAAAGATGTCAAGTCCCACAGGGCCCTAGTCTCTTGTGACAGAGTGTTCCACCAGATCGGGGCCACGGCCGAAAAGGCCCTGGCTCTGGTTGAGGCCAGCCTAACCTCTCTGTGGCCTGGGACCTCCAAGATTTTTTTTTTTAAGACCGTAAGGCAGTGGCGTAGCGTGGGGGTGCGGGGGGGCCGGGCGCACCGGGCGCAACATCTGGGGGTTAGGGTTAGGGGGCGCAAATCCACAGGTTAGGGGGCGCAAATCCACGGGTTAGGGGGCGCAAATTACTTGCCTTGTCCCAGGTGCTGACAACCCACGCTACGCCACTGCCGTAAGGTCCTCTGTGGGACATACCAGGAGAGGCGGTCCCGTACGTATGAGGGTCGTAAGCCGTATAGGGAATTCTACCCCATCGCCCTTGCCCTTGCCCTGATCCAGAAGGCAGTACTATTTTTCTACAAAAAGAGGTGCTGGAGGTCATCATGAATGCTTCCCTCTTTCTCTTAGAATGGCAATGGCACCCACCTGAGAGGTTCCAGAAACCACCTGACAGGTGCTGGAACTGAGTTCTGTTGAGTTCCCCCTGGGGGGGGGGGGAAGCCCTGCCAGAAGGGAATGTCACATGTCTGTAAAAACATTTTTGCTGTTTGCAATTCAGAAAGGTCACTGTGTTCGTATCTGATTTAAAGATGGCTATTTATCTGCATTTTTACATTGGGGGTTTCAGAAATAATGAAACAGATAGCACACAAGGAGTTAAAAGGAGGGAGGGAGGGAGGGAGGGAGGGGTGAGGGAGGGAGAGCAGGCAATCCATGGCAGAGAATGGAAATGGTGTTAAAGTCCACTGGGGCCAGTTGGTGCAGAGATACATTTGCTTTAATTGATGCTGCACTCTAATGTGAAGTTATGCTCCGAAAAGTGACTCTGTAAATTAATAACACAGTGATGTTCTATATTTATTCTCCTCCAATGACGTCTATGCCAAAATGTGCACACTATGCAAGTCAATGTGAGGTTTTGCCAACAGTCATGGCACCAACAGCATAACCCACAATAGTTTTAAGACATTAGGCCTTGCTCTGCTCTTTCATTACACTAAAAGTCCCAGCAAGACCCAGAAACAATCCATTTTGAAGGCTGGTTACTTGATCGGTTAAATATTGGCAACTGAACAGTTATTACTGGAGTGTGGTCAAATATTGCTAATTACTCTGTATGTAGTCAAGAACGTCCTTGTGTAATTGGCAACCCGTCTTCTTAATTGCATTATGGGGGCATCTAACAGCAGTGGCAAGAGGGAAGGCTCCTTTGCTTCTCAGGATCTTCTTGTAGGGCCAGACAAACCCAGGTCTCTCACGAGAGCTTCTTTTGCCCTCCCTCCTTTATGTTGAAGAGCCCTGCTGTTTTGCCCAGCTCTTTCCAAGCACAGGCCTGCGTTTTTAGGGCCACATCCGAGCTCCCACCGCCCCGAGGTTTTCCCTATGAAAACCTGCTCTTTAAAGCTGAACCAGACCAAATGGCAACTCAGGTTTTCTACATACTGCTCTTTATTTCGACTGAGCTTTAGAGAGCAGCTTTTCACTGGGCAAAATAAAGGGAGGTTGGACATGGAGCTTTAAAGCGTGGACTGGGCCTGGAAAGCATGGAGGATAGGTAAGTGTGGACAAGCCCTAAGTCAATAGGCCTACCATCTTTTCTTGCTCATGTGCTACAGCTGCAGGCATCTCTGAACAGGAAGAGGGATATGGGAATCAAACACACACAGTCACAAATTAAGTTACAAATTAAGACTCAGAGTGCCTCCAAGCTGCCAGCGTTTTATGGGAGGAACTGCAGCACATGCCAGAACATTCGGTTTCCCCCTGCCATGAAATACTGCTGCATTTGAGACTTGTTCAGTTTGGAGAAAAGGTAACAGGGGACGTGATAGAAGTTCATAAAATTATAAAGTGGATAGAGAAAAGTTTCTCTCTGTGTGTCTCTGTCTTTGTCTCTAACTCTAGAATTTGTGGACTTTTTCCATGCACCACATGGATTAGAAAAATTCAGGGAGGATAACTGTCAGGCTTTGGGGAATCAGATGCCTCCCCTGGTGGCAATAAATAAGCAGATCAAATGAAAGGAGCGTTCTTACCAGTTAGTTTCTTTAATAATCACGGTGAGAGACAAAGGAATGCATATCTCTCTAGAAACGGCGTTGCTCCCAGTAAAGGTTTACCCCCTCTGTCCCCATTAATCTACGTCACTCCTACGTCAGGTAATCTGAGTTTGTTGCCGCTGAGCTTTCTGTTCTATCACTCTCAAAGCCCATCTAGTCTTAGGCGAAGTGGGGGGTCAGGAATGCTGTCCAAGGACACTGACTCCGCCAGCTGTCTCTCTCCTGGTGTTTCCTCTTCGAGCTGTTCCTCACCCACTATTTCCCAGCTTTTCCTCTCTGGACTATGCCCTTCTGCAAACCACTGTTCTAAATCAATACTGTCAGGGCTGTCTTTCGCATATGTGCTGCAGGGGTGCAAAGATCCGCCCAGTGCCCCCAAATTTAGTTTAGCCACTCCCAGATTTTTTGGGGGGACGACAAACAAAAGTTGTTGAGCTTTATTGGGGGGGGGGAGCCAAAGTTGTTGATCTGAAATCGCTCACCTGAAACAACGATGCAGCAGAAGTAACTTCTTTTGTTTCCTGACTCGGTGGGAATATTTGATGCTACGGAGTAACAGAGCAATGGAGAAGAGGGGCAGGGACTTTCGCTCCATTGCTTTTCACTGCCGCCGATCGAAAGGGACCGGTATATAGTAGGTATACATCTGGCGCCCCCCATAATTCGACGCCCGGGTGACTACACCCCTTGCACCCCCGGGTAAAGACGGCCCTGAATACTGTCCTCCCGCCCTTGGGAAGGTTCAGGAGAAGGGGGGGGGCTCCCACCATTCCTCCTCAGTCCAGCCCCTGATATCAACGCTATTAGCAGCTACTAGCATGGATGGCTATGCTGTGCCTCCATGGTCAGAGGCAGGAACACTTCCCAATACCACTTGCTGAAAGCCCAAGGAGGAGAGAGTGATCCTGTGTTCGAATCCTGCTTGCTGATTTCCTACAGGAATCTGGTTGGCTGCTGTGAGTAAACGATGCTGGAGTCGATGGGCTACTGGCCTGATCCAGCCAGCTCTTCTTATGTTCTTATGTTAAGTAATTAAGTGAACAAGGCCGTTTTGTAATATTTATAGGCTACTACTTGAGTCCTATGTTTTAATGACTCCTATATTTCAATTATTCAGTGAGGACTAGCTGGAAATTAACCCATTAAATGTTTTAGTTCAGAGTCAGATTCAGCTGTGTTTGAAGTTGTGCTAGGCTGGCTCCAGCCCTAGCCTATAAAAGTTTGGTAATCTCTTCAGCTCACCTCCAGGACCAGATCAGTTCCAATCCACATGGGAAGCCTTTAAACATCTGTACTGATAGTGCTGAATTGAAAAGAGGATCGGGGCAAGTTAATGGGTCTAATGGTGTAACGAAGACATAAACCATAAGTACAACGAAGCACCAGATAAAAAGGACTAGATGATTCAATATTAAATATATAACTTGGTTTTCAATTTGCTCTGTTTATTTAACCTTAGCCCCCCTAACAGAAATCTTTTATCCTAACTTTTATTCGTTGTTTTTGTTATTATTTTTCATGTCCCACCTTTCCCCCCCTGATGGGACTCAGGGTGGCTTTTAAGATAAAAACAAGAACTGCTAAAAACATAGCAAAAGCAATCATTAAAATGCAATTAAACATTGGCAGAATTAAAACTATACAGTGGTACCTCTGGTTGCGAACAGGATCCGTTCTGGAGCCCCGTTCGCAACCTGAAAGGAATGCAACCCGTGTCTGCGCACACACGGGTCACGATATGCCGCTTCTGCGCATGCGTGTGACGTCATTTTGTGCGTCTGCGCATGCGCAAGCAGCGAAACCCAGAAGTAACCCTTTCCGGTACTTCCGGGTCACTGTAGGATGCAACCTGAAAAGATGTAACCTGAACCGAACGTAACAAGAGGTATGACTGTATACATATATAAATTATGTTCAAAACATACCAATAATTACAATAAACACAGCATGGCACCAGCCCTTTCATTAAAAGCAGCCGATTCCCAAAAGCCTATTGGAACAAGAAAGTCTGTTCCAACAGACTGGCAGAAAGAACAGCAAGGAGGGAGCCTGTCCGGCTTCTGTTGGGAGGGAGTTCCAGAGTCTGGGAGCAGCCGCAGAGAAGGACCTGTCCTGAATCCCCATGCCTGTGATGATGGTGGGACTGAGAGACAGGTCCCCAGGCATGAAGATTTCAAAACCTAGGC